ATGCATAATACGACTGTCCTCTCCATAGATACTTAAAAAAATAAATGAAAAGATATCTAAAGGAGTGAATCATTGAATATGAATATTCAATAAACTACTAAATGGCAACAAAATTATCAATAAATAAATAGCAGTAATAAATATAAAAATTTACAAATAAGTAAATAATTTTACGGAGATTTTTTTATAGTCACTCTCTTATTCATTCATTGAAATATGTCTTATCTATAAACTACAGGCGCTGGCGATATATATATATTACTGTGGCTAGTAAATTTCGAGACAGAATCTTTGTACTAAGTTTTTCTAAAATAATTCGAATATTAGAATGTTTTATATTTTTGTTTTAATGTACATATTTTCTATGATTATCACTTATCAAAATAATAGTAGTTTAATATCTTTGTCTAAAAAGTTTTCGGAATTATTTACAAAAATATTTGATAAATGACATTTTAAAACAGTAATCTTTTTTGATATTTTTATGTTTAAAATAAAAATAAATTTAAACAAAAAAATATTAATTTTAAAGAGTAATATTTGATGTTTATTTTTTAGTAAAAATCAGTAAGTTTATCAAATGCTTACAATTTTTAATAAATAATTTTATCTAAAATTAGGTCTAAATTTGTCTTCCAAAATAGCACAATTTTAATTTTTAATAATGTTTGGTATTTTCGTCAATAATAAAAAATTATTTTATTATTTTCTTAAAAGCAGGCAACATAATATAATATTTAATCATTTTAAAAAATTTATTAGAATAATATAATTTTAATAAATAACAAAAACATTTTAAAATTTATTTTCGTTTTTTAGAAATAAGTATAAATTGTATTTTTTTGTAATTTTTCATAAATAATTCTTTAATTGTCAGAAATCTAATAAAATAAAAATACTTGTATTATTTTATCAGGATTAATAGTTTTTCTTAGATTTTATAAATTATACAATTCTAAAAATTGAGGTTACTAATTTTGTAGCATTATAAAACTTTAATTATTATACTATAAAATATTTTAAAAAATTAACAATAATAATGAATATCTCTACAATTTAATACCATAAAAAAATAATTTTTAATTATTAAACCGAATGCAGAAAAATCTATTAAGTTTTCATATTACAATTTGTCTCGAAATATATTTGCCACAGTAATATATAAAGGAGCTGATGGCTAGTTAATGGTCACTAACCGGGCAGATGATGCCATACTCTCCAAATGGAAAGTGCTATAAATTATATTTCAAATGTTACAGTAGTTTCATATAATATATACCCATTAGTAAATAGTCTAAAAATTATTGATAGAAATTTTTGGGTATAAAATACACACACAAAACATTGATCGTGCCCTTCAAACATTAATATGTATTGATATGTATGTATGAATGTATGTATGTAGGCACGCGCTTAGGGGCACGTGTTTTGACGCACTTAAACTCACTCATTTATGCCTATAAATTTACAAAAATGGCACATCACAATGGACAGACAGCTAATGGGTAGGCAATAAATTTTACTAAATGTATCATTATTATTATACAGTTCATATGCTATGTTTAATGATGTCGGGTGGCCTCCAAAATAATAATAATAATAATAAATACCAATAAATATATGTATAGATTTTTATACTATAGGCATATGATAGGTATGTTGTATTCATATGAAATATATATTACTATATCTGTACAGTATATATATATCTACTGTATATACAATATATATTCACTACTCAATGGCTTAATGTGCGGAAATAAATCACTGTAACCTTAAACTAATGTTAAATGCAGTGATTGTGTTAATGTTGTACATCATTTACAATGTATATATACACTGTATAAACTGTATGTTTTTGTTATTTATATTTATAAATTTTTGTTTTTCTCCAGTTATATGCCTAACCACTAATTAGTTATTATAATTAGGAGATTCCGAGAAACATAAAAATCATAAAAAAATTTGTTTGTCTCACACTTATATATACAGCTTAAGCTTAATATACTTTTGATTTATTACAAAATTACTATATTATTGTATAGTCATGTTTAGATATTGCTAAAGATAATTATAATAATATAGTTAAAATAGATATTATAATTAGATTGTAGGTTTGTTAGTAAGAAACAAAAATAATGTTAACAATGTTGACTAAATAATATATAAATATATTATATAAAATGTTAATGAATTAATAAAATCTTTAACAAATTATTATTATAAAATATCGTAACTTATAATTTTAAAAAATTTTTAGATATATTTTTTTTAATCTATTTTATAAACTTTCTAATTTATTCAATTCATTAATATATATTACACTATATACAATGTATCATATATATGATAATACTGTACTATATATAATACTATGTAGTAAACTAAACACCTAATTAAGTGTTGCAATTGTATAATAAACATATTAACACTAGATTTATTGCTATTGTTTTGTTGTTATTTTTTCATATATATGTTTTTTCAAAATTAAATAAATATATTCATTGGATTTATAATACAAAAACTAATGATTATAATTATAACACAAGTAGTCTGTAATCAAAACAAATAAATCAATAAAATATTTAGCTATATAGTTTAATTATTTTTTGTTTAAAAACTTTAAAATGTGTTAACAGTCGCACAAAAATTATATATATTTATACAGATATTTTTAAAGTGCAGTATATTAATAATATTTAAGTTTGTATTTATAAATGGGGTTCAAACCAAACACAAAAAAACAAAGTAATAAATAAAATTTTATTTATTTCAATTTTCATAAATAAAAAATCATTTTTGTTTTTAAAAATAGTGCTGAAAAAACATCAGTTCTTTAAATTGAGTTTTAATATTTATATTTTAGAAAATAAACATTTTAAATAACTTTTTAACAATTTTGTATTTTTCAAATTCATACCTGTTTTTAAAAAAAAAATAAAATAAAGATATTTATGAATGAATTTTACATAACTTTAATTTTATAGTATAACTATGGGTTTAAATATTTTTAAAAAATAAGTGTGTAAATTTTTTTTTTTGATAGTATATATTTTATCATATATTTAGTATATTGTTATTATTATTACACAAATATTTGTATCCACACTAAAAAATCACACCTAAAAAACCTTACTGTCTAACAAACTGCACGTGACTTACACCAGATCAGACCAGACATATATAGCCTAAAGTTAATACTGAGAAATGAAACAATAGTTTATTATTATTATTAAATACAGGGCTTCAAACTAAACAAAAATAACTTATTATTAGTATTATAACAATTGTTATATCATATAATTAAATTGATTGAAAATTTTTGCTGTTGTGTGGACATACATGTGCGCCGACATACACTTATATACCGATAGCTCACTTAACATTTTTATGTCGGGAAACCTTATACCTATTGAGGTGGAGTTTATGGGAACGGTATGCTTGTAATAATTATGTTTGTATGGGTATTATATATATATAATAAATTTTATATACAATATACAATCTACACTTTATATAAGACATTAACTATATATTACTAGTATTTTTTGCGGCAAAAATTACTATTTTGTTGTTTGATAGTCTTATAGTTGATAACTAATAGATATAAGTGAGTAGTGGATGTGTTAAAACTAATTAAAATTAAAATTTAATAATACTACTGATAATCATAATACTTGGATTGGCAAAAGTGGAGGCGCCGGGTATCGATCCCGGTACCTCTCGCATGCTAAGCGAGCGCTCTACCATCTGAGCTACGCCCCCTGTTATATTTTTTTAATATAGTTGAAAATCGTTTTAAAATAAGCAAATCTCTTATCAAGTTTTTAAGACTTGTTTGTTGCCCCAAATTTGTCAATAAAAACATATTTTAATTGATTAATTAGTTTTTGTTGCCCTAAACATGTTTGTAGTATTTGTTACGTTTAAAGCGCTTTTACTTTTGACTATCGATTCAAATATCGCTTACATATATACCGGTATACAGTGTATACACACATTGACAGCCTATTGTGTTGTGCACTAACTCACTGCTCGCACGACTAACTGTTTGAGGTTTTTGCTGTATATCATAAAAACTTGTATCAAAAAAAAGATTTTTAAAAAAATTATTGAATTTTTGCAAACTTTTGCAATAATAAAGATATTATACTTTATAAGCAATTTTATTTTATTTTTTAAAAAATTATTAATCTAATATAATGTAAATAAAATGAATATTGTATACATGATTCTGAATGTATATAAAAAATAAAAAGTTTTGTTTAAAATAAAATAAAATTCAGTCATAAACTTTTTTTTTAATTTAATCATTAAAGCAAAAGTTTTGAGCATAAAATAAAATTATAAACATTATTATTTATGAAGTGATCTTTTATTATAATTTGATTCATATATTTTAAATAAATTGTTTTAATCTAAAGTTTAAATTTTAAACATTATAAATTATAATAGATTATTAATGAATAAAAAAAATTATGTTAACATTAAACCTACATTTTTTGTAAAGTATATATTTAATAATAATAAACTATGAAAAATTGATTGTAAAAAACAAACACATTGTAATTGTAATAATAAACTATGAAAAATTTTCACCTGATACATTTTTAAAAATAATGTTTAACTTTATTCAACAAAAAATATTCAAGCTACAAACTTGTCAACTTTAATACTATACAATTTACTAATAATAAGTCATATGATATATTTTATTAAATACAATGTCCATACCATATAATAATAATAATAATGCAAATTACTATGAAATTGATTTGTATTATCTATAAATCAAAGGTGAAATTGTTTTAAGTGGACTCTGTATTGATTGAAAAGCCTGGTGTGTTTGATAAGCAACTACTGACTCATTGATTATTTTGTTGAATAAAATATTAAATATTATTGAGTTGTGTAGTAGTAGTAGTATTATTATTAGCTAATTTTATGAAAGATTAATATAAATGAGATTAACACAACTGACCATTAGTTACCCGAAAAAAATGTCTGCACCGCAACTGTCGGATTCAAAACGACTGCAAAATGATTACAAACAATTGTTGGACGAACCCATTGATGACGTTTGGGCCGTTCCCTGTCCTTATAACATTTATGAATGGTAAGTACAATACTACTATATTATAAGTTTTTGGTAGCGGTACACACACCCGGAGGTTCGGGTGGCAGCCATACATTTGTAACAGCTAAGCTAATTATGAGGTCTAAAAAATTCTCCGACACTGTTTGACTGTAAAAACCTGACCCACACATACTATCAGTAATTAATAAAAATTTATTTTTTCAATGGCCACACATTATATCGCGCTAACCACATACACATACACATACAGTTACTACGTGTTGAAGGGCCCGTCGTTTACACAGTTTGCTGGTGGTCTATACTTTGGCCGAATAATGTTTCCGAAAACATATCCATTTAACGGACCATCAATCTATATGATGACACCCTCTGGTCGGTTCCGTACTGCTAATGATCGCTTTACTGGTCATCTAATATCAATGGAGGACCACTTGTGGTCGGCCTGTAATACAGTGACATCAGTATTGCAATCATTGCAAAGTTGGATGTTTTCACAAAATAATAAGTGGTTGACTGAGGACGACGACATCGATACACTGTCTTTGCCAGTGTTTGATCGGCAACAGAGACAACAAGAGTTTGCCATAAATAGCTATCAATTCAATATCGGTGATCCCAGATTTGGCCACTACTTTCCACAGTTGATTCAAGTAATTGAAACGTTTATTTTTTTAACATTTATTTAATTATATATATACTGTATATAAATTTATATAAAGAGTGTTACTTATGTTTTCTATTGTTTTTTTTGGTTATATTTTTTTTGTTATGCAATCGATTAATGGATACAATTATTATAACCAATTTAAAAATTATATTACAATATGAGGAGGACAAGTCATCGCTTAATTGTGATATTAACAACAATAATGATAAAAATGATAAATAAAATGTATAAAATTCAGATTATTATAATATAATAAAAATGTTATTTGATATAAAATTCTCATATATTTTGTAATATAAAAATTTATATATGACTTGATATTATTCTATGATATTAAAATTGTTTTTGATATTTAAAAAAAATTATACCATTAATTTTTTCCATAATATTTAACAATTGATGAACAACAACAAAATTGCACAAAAAAAACTAAAATGACATTTTATCCATTTATTTATAAAAGGATTTCACTTAATAAAGAATTGTTGTGAATTGAATGAAATGGTATTTTTTTCAATAAAACCTACCGTTCCTCCACACCGCCTCTAATGGACTTTGACATAAGTGACCACTGAATTTAAATGCGGCTATTTTTTATAAAAAACTTATTGTATAGTAGATATGTATGTAGGTGAGTGAGAGGGACAGGTATGCAAAATAAGGGGACCTGTGCCATTGAAAACAGTAGTTTTCCAGTACTGTTAGATAAAAAACATTTTTTGTTGTTTAATCCAATAATACCTGCAATTCACTACTATTACTACTATAAGAGTACACATGTCTGGTCCACTATACAGTATATATATAAAAAATACCTGTGCCCATAAATACATCTACATAAGCTACATAACATATACTACAAACACCGGTGTCTCAATTGCATGCAAATTACGTTTGCATCAATTGACAAAAAATATTTTTTTTATAGTATAAACTTTCTTATGGGCAACAATTCCACTCTAAGATATATATATATATATATACAGTATATATACCTGTATAGTATATACCGGTGCTCTCATGGTATTAATACTACAAATTTTTTAGTGAACTTCACCTATCAGTATATAAAAGAGAAATTTATTTCTTTTCACTCTCAATATAATTGAAATCTATTAGTGATTTATAATCTATTTTTTGTTGTATTTGGCTCTCAGAGAGAAAGTTGTTATTTTTAACAAACACAATGACAACATTTTATTTATGTTATATATACAGTCATATCATATATATAGTACTCCGATGCATATTTTTTACAATATATTTATACTAAATGATAGTTAGTTAGATAGTGAACAGTTGGCTCACAATATCTATTGATGACATTTAAAAGGCATTATATACTGTACTTGAAGTGTGTGTAGGAAAGTGATGGTCAATGAAAGCAAAAATAAAATAAAATAGTAAAAAGTTTTTTGATTTATTTTTTTATTAAACATTTTGAAAGCTATTTAATAGAAGAAAGTTTTTGATATTTTTTGTGTGTATATAATACCTGCATATAATTGAATTAAAAAATATATATTGTATGCAAAGATATTTTTGTTGAAAATCTAAATAAATATTAAGAAAAAAATCTAAATATAAGTACCGGTATATTATAATTTATAAACTATTTATATCCATTTAACGTTGTCATTCATTGATAAATAAATGCATTTTTAAATAGAAAATTAAAATTCACTTTCAAAATAGTCTATATATGAAAGATATGTTTTGCATAGAAATATTTATTGTATTAATAATATTAAAAATGACATAAAAGTTTCAATATTTAAGTATAGGATATATTTATTAACTTAAAAAAACTGTCAAAGTTTACTTAGCAAATAAAATATTATAAATAAAATAAAAATCTAATTTATTTTATTATTTATGTCAAATGAGAGGGACATCATAGTAGATATCATTTTTTTAAATAAGAGAAATAAAAGTTACAATAAATTGCTTAAAAAAACTGAATCACATTTTTTTGTAAAAAAATAAAATACAAACAAATACATTAAATAAAGTACAAATACTCATTGAAAATATAAAAATTTTATTTATTGCTGTCATAGCTTAGTTTTTTTTTAAACTTTTAGTTTTAGTTTATAGACCACATTAAACCCAACAAAAAATAAATATGATAGACACCATTGATTAGTAACATACACAACAAGCTTATCTAAATTGCTGCAAATACCCAACCATTTTATTAGGGCCTTATAGAGTAGTAATAGTTTATATATACAGTATATATATATATGATGCCGACATTTGATAAAATAAAATTGCAATGTTTTTGAAACAACTGAGACACACATACACAAAAAAAATAACAAAATGTCATCACAGATATCATATATGTCGAAAAATACGAGTTAATTAAAAGTATAGGTCCGGGTTGTGTATGAAATTTTTGTTTGTTTGTACGTATGTGTGTGTGTTTCAAAAATATATGACTTAACCTATGATCCATGCTATTAAGATATCAACGATAATAATAATTTTTTTGCTTTTAACCAAGGTATAAATTTTGACAGAATCATTATATACCATATACTCATATATATATATATATATATATATATTGCAAAACGTTGGTATTTGGTATGGTATTTTTGTTTGAAAAAGGGGGAGGGGGTATAGTGCGTGATATGTGTGTAACTTATGAAATTATCCTACATTGACACAATTTATCATTATCATCATCATCATCATTATATATCCTATTGCCCTTTAACTTGATATACTGTATATACAGTTTTTTTGGGGAAAATAATTTATTTTACTGTTTTTTACAACAACACAAAAAAAATAAATAATTGATACAGACAGTATAAGCAAATAATAATTTCAAGTTCATGGCTAGTATTGAGCACCGGGTTATTTACTGTATTTTTTTCTTGTCTCGTGTGTTGTGTGGACCACATAAAACATTGTCAGCAATAATAATGATCAGTTAGCTAATAAATCGGTTGGGCACTCCAGTAGAGTAAACTATTTTTTGGTGAACACCTGTTTGTATAAAAACATTAACTACAAGTTCTGTAAATTTTAGTAGTAGTAGTAGTAGTAGTAGTAGTAGTAGTAGTAAAAAACATACTAAACAATGCGGTTCACAAAAAATTTATACCTGTTTAAATAGTGTAGAGTTATAGATTTATATATACTAGTACTGTATACATTATATATATATATTTGAAATAAATTAATCTAAATATTGTAATAATATTTTTTTATATTGGTTTATAATTTTTCATTAAATATAGTTATTTATCCTAAAAAAATAATAGTTAAAACATAAAAATTAATAATTTATGATAAAATAAACTGCTAATTGTTTTATTTGTGGTCAACAAATAAATAATTTAACCAACAAAAAACAATTTGAACAAAATATTTTTTCGAAAAACAAAAACATGTATATAATTAAGCAATAATTCTGACATAAAAATTATAGATAATAATTTTATTTATTATTATTATACAGTACAATGTCAAAGATTTGAAAATAAATAAAAACAATTGTCATAATAATAATTATATTACATTATTGTATTATTAGTATTAGTGTTATTATTAAGTAATTTTTCTTTAGTTAGCTGACCATTGGATAGACATTGGGCAGTGAATAGATAGCAAATGATAACAATAATAACAATAATAATAATAATAATCTTAAACATTTATAGAGTCATTAGTGAAAGTCAGGTAGCAATCGATAATAGAGTGGTTTTTTTGTTGAAAAAAAATAAAATTGAATTATTGTCTAATAATAATATAAGCCCAACAAAAAAATAGCCACAACAATAACAATACTGAATATGCATATTAAGACTATTGAGAAAGATAGAGATAGAGAGGAAAAAATAAAACAATTTATTGGCAAAAAAACATTTATTTTTTTCTATGTGTGTGAGCCACCGGCACATTGCCGGATCATTGGGAGGGATGGGAACCACACACGAGGCCTACCAACAAAAAACACATTTTAAGATATGTAAAAATATTGTTTTTTTCTCTGAGTTTTTTTTATTTGTTAGTCTATAGTATATACTGTATATGCATCTGTACTATACATGTATGCAGTGTTATAATTTAATAGACACCACCAGTAATTCTCTAATTTATAATAATACTATAGTTATGATTTTATCTATCTATTCACTGTAGATAAGATACCATAAAAATTTTGTTTAATAAAAATATATAAAGTTATTTGAGCTCATTTATGTTCATCCCATATTAGTAATATAGTAGTCGTAGTAAGAGTAACATTGGATATGTATATTCACTATCTTATTTAAGTTATTTATATAAAAATATATTAAGGAGAGAGAGAGAGAGAGATAGAGAGAGACAGAGAGAGCTAACATATATGAATTAAGATAGAGCACAGGGGGCTCGGGGTTTATCAGAGAAATAGATTGTAAGTTAAAGTGAATGTGTGTGCAATACACACTGTGTATAATGTGAAGGCATGTTTTGATACTTATACTCTCTCTCTCTCTCTCTCTCTCTCTCTCTCTCTCTCTCTCTCTCTCTCTCTGTGTGTGTGTGTGTGTGTGTGTGTGTGTGTGTGTGTGTGTGTGTGTGTGTGTGTGTGTGTGTCTGTGTTGAACTGTACTCTACTGTATGTCTGAATTGTATGGCATTCGGGAGGAGTAGTCTTCAGATAACTTCTCGTAAAAACATAGGATAGAGTTGAGGGGTCTGGTGTTTATGTGGTGGTGTCTGGACTCTGGAATAGCATGTAGTAGTGATGTACAGTACATTGCAATACTATGGTATCTATAAAAACATATATTATAAGCGTATCGCTGAGTGCTCCTAATATGAAATTACATTAGTATATGAAAAATATATTTAATAATAATAATAATACTAATAATAATGATAATAAATATCTATTAAAATAAATCTATGTTTTTTCGGTTTATAAAAATTATTATTCAAATAAAAATAATTTGATAAATCAAAAATCATTGATAAGTGCACTGCGCGACTCTCACTTTGGGCGTCAATGAAATAAAAAAACAGTCGTTTAAACTTATAAATTGAAGTTAATATTTAATAATTTTTGTTTTGTGTTTCTGTATTACACAGTACTGTATATGACTTTACCATATATTATATATCAAATATATTGCAATTCATTTGTTTTAAAATAATACAAAAAATTGTTGTCATATAAATTTTAATTACTAATTGTGCTACTAATATAAAATATTATTATTTAATAAAAAATAATAATTTTTAATTCAATTTGATTTAATTAAATTAATTGTTATTTAAGTTTTTTGAAAGTTATTTATATTAGACATATATCTGTCTAATACTCCAATTTAACAATATATATATATTTTCATTTTATTTTGTTAAAATCGTTAGTAAATTAAATGATAAAATATTTTGACGACCAAACCGACTGTCAGGCCAATAGCTATCAGCGGCTAACTAAGCCGTTGATTGAGAAGCGGCGCAGAGCTCGCATTAACCTATGTCTTATGCAGCTCAAGGAGATGGTCATCGACTCGGGCCGTCATTATATTCAGGTTTGTGTCTGTCTGTATGGGTCACCCGACACATGTCTCATACAATATACAATGTATATATAAAATGTCATATATATAGATAGATAGCAACAGAATAAGTGTTGAATAAATCATTATTAACATGATTTTCTAAACTGATTATAATTTAATAATAATTATATACATAAATATTTTCATACAGTATATCTGGAAAAAAATTTACAGATAATTAATTGACACATACATACAGTGTTTATGTTTAGTTACACAAAGTTATCTCTCAAATTTAATCATAAATTTTCCACAGAAATCGTATCACTGATAAAAACAACGAGAAAAACACTTTTTTAAAGAGAAAAAAAACTGTTTTTTCTGATAATATCTCTCTTTTTATCTCTTGACTTATGTGTCACGTAATACCATTACTTGATGTTTGGTACGGATGATGACCACCACTACTACTACTACTACAGAATCCTAAATGCAAGTATGAAAAGGCCGATATACTGGAGCTGACTGTCGAGTATCTGCAGAATATGCACTTCAAACAGAAAACGGAGACAAATGAGACCAAACAGTCGTTTAATGCCGGGTTTAATGAGTGCCTAAAACAAGTACAACATTTTCTCAAATGTCTGCCGCTGTCTGATAAGATCAACAATGCTAACAATAAAAACAGTACACAATCTACCAGTGCTGACAACAGTAGTACCGCCGCTGTTGAACAACGACAACTCATTTCTGAAAAACTCTTATCGCATCTGGATTTCTGTCGTACAGAGCTTACGCACAGTGATGTCTATGAAGACCTCCCTCCCTCCCAACCTCGACCCGAGCACTCGATGGACATACAAAACAGCCATAACCTCAACAACGAGCGATACTATGACCAGAATATACTTAACTCCCAACCAAACGGGTTCAGTGTTATACACCATACCCGTGACTACTCGTCCTCTATATCGAGCACCAGTAGTAATTCGAGTACCCGTACTGTATCGCCACCGATGTCACCCGAACCAATCAGACACCGGCCGACAACAGCCAATAGTCATTCGTTGTCAACGTCACCGCAATTACCGTCAGATTTTATACCAGAATTTCGCGGATTAAGGGCAAACAGTTTGGGACAGTATGAACACAATGGCAGGTGCTATGAATTAGGCGCTGATGGCGTATGGAGGCCGTGGTGATGGTTGAATTGAACATTGGCATATAAATCCTGATTTTGTATATAGTTATAAATAGATAATTTTGTTTTAATTATATCATACTGATATTAAAAAAAATAAATTTTATATCAATATTATTTTATATAAATTTTGATAATATATAAATATATTATGATATTGTAAATTTTTATTACTTTTTAATTTTTACAAATTTGACTTTTTAAATAATAACAATTACATTGCAAATCGTATATTTGATTTATTTTAATTTGAAATAAATGCTAAGTGTACAGTATATTTAATTAATAATATACTTTATTTAATTATTAACTATATTTTACTATTAACTATTTATATATTTCATATATTTAAGAAAATTTTGTAAATAATTTTTATTTTGAAATAAAAATAAAATTTTTAATTAAATATTATCAAAAAATTGTGACTAATTTTTACTACATAAAAGTTTTTATTTTATTGATAAAAAATGCATATATAGCTACATTGTAAATGATCATAATTTTTTTAAAAACAGTTATGTAAATTACAAAACAATAACTTAAATTTATAGATAGTGTATACGTTAGTAATACTTTATATAATATTTTATAATCATTAAACTGAACTATTAGTTAATAGTTATGTCTATATAGGTTATAAAAATTGTCACCATAAAAAAAGTATGTTATATAACTTATATCTAATAACTATATCGGAGATAAAGTAACAAATAAAATACATAATGTACTTAAATATTAAAATTTTCTACATTTCTTATGTCATAACTTTACAATTTACAAAAAAAATAATTAAAATTAATTTTTTTAAAAAAGACTGTTAGGTATTACATACTGATTATCTTATTTAAAAAATGCTGATATTTAAAAAAAATAAATAATTAAATCCTATTCACAAAAATTTCAGTTAACTTTTTCTAACTTAAGATAACTTTTTTTTTAAATATCTAAAATAATTTTATTTGTTATTATTATAACCTGTGTTAATTACTGATAATCATTGATTTCTAATAAACAGTAATTAAATAAAAAAATTTAGTTTACTATAGTATTATTTTGTATTTATAATACAGTATTGTTAATATAAGTTATATAATATTTATATATAAATTGCATTAAAAATGTATAATCAAAATTTTCCATATCATATCACTCAATTGGACTCAATACCTGAAAACAATTGACGCAAATACATATAATAATTTTATGTGCACTAAATTGACAATGATAAGACATTTAATGTTTATCTATAAGTTATATATAAATCATTATATCTGTTTCAAAAAAAAAATATATACATTAAAATTTTTGTTTCTTAATTATTAATAAAATTTTTTAATTTACTTTATATTTGTTTACTAATACAATTTATATAATTTAATTTTGATTACTAAGCAAAAAATGTCCACTGAATTCAGTGAAATAAACTGAATTAAATTGTATTTAAACTGTTATTTATATTTTTTTTAAATAAATTAAAATTATAAAAATTAAACATTTTGTACTCAATTGTCGCCAATTATTTATCAAATATATTATCCACAAAAAAAACAATGCAAATAAAAAATCATATATAAATTAAATGCATTATCTTATTAAAATGTCAATTATTATTACTACTATTATTAATATCTCTACTAAATATTTGTCTTTTTGACAATTTTTAATGTAAATAAATGTTATTTGGCATTTTTATCATTGATGTGAATAATATAAAAATATTATTATTTTGATGTCCAAAATCCATGCAAACACACTTATTATTATAAGATTATATGACATTTGGGAAAATACATGATATGATAAAAGCCCAGAATATTAGACATGAGTTTTCCTCTCTTAATTTTTTTTAAAAATTTAATATTAATATAGAGAAAAAAATATTCAAATACAGTATCAATTTTATGATTAATTTTTAAAAAAAAATTATTTTTTTTAATATTGAATTAAAATAATTTATTTATAAATTAAAAATATAGTATTGGTTTATATGATATCATATAATGTAAATAACATTTAGTCTGTTAAACATTAATTATTATATATTTAATGATTAATATTATACTAAAAACAGGCATTGACTGTATGCATGGTGATAGTTTATTTTTTTAATAAATAAAATGGTTAGCCTATGATTGCATGAGCCACACACCAGTTCACGTGGGGACGAGCCTCCAAACATGAGACACACTCATGGGAACGACATTTAATTGACTACACGGCACCGGTAATCATTTGGGCAAACAATGTACAGACATTAATACATAGACACAAATATCATATACAAAATATAGATAAATATTGTTCATAACAAACACATGCAATCCTCTCTTATCATATCAGTTTGATTATTATTATTATTATTATTAGTTTTATATACTTATATTATTATTATTATTATATCTACTAAAAGTAAACATTTATCATAAAATTTTTAGATCAACTTTAGTGTAACATAGTATGAAAAGTAATGCAATAGAAAAATATAAAATAAAATAAAAATAATAAAAAAATAATATTAGATATCAGCTTTTATTGCCAACCCCTTAACGAGTCATTAAAAATGTTAAAAATCTCGGGTAGAGTTAGTTGTGTATAATATGTATGTGTTAAATGTGCAAAACATGTTATATGATATTTTTGGGAACAAATGGGTTTTTCAAGGGGCCAACTATTATATATTTTTGCATATTTATATATGCAACTTATGATTATGGGCAAATGGATCATTGATTTTACTCATATAGTTATCATTATATATTGATATACTAATATATATTATAAAAAGCTATTTAATATGTCATTTAATTTCCGTAACGGGTATATCATATTAATGTATAAAATAAAATTGTATAAAAAATAGTTCAATATCAGTGCCGAGACATATCATAAAATCTACACATCATATATATAGACATTTGCTGAGAACACAGTTAGATATTATTTATTTATTTTTTGCACAGTCCTAGAAAAATCTGCAGTAATATTAAATAACGAATCATTTTCTAGACCTGTCTAATACATCTATTTTCTAATATAAAATCAGCATTTAAAAAAAAATAGTTTATACATACAGTATTTATATGTCTAATCAACAATATACAGTACAGTAATTATTTTTAATAAATTTTATATAATAAACTTTGAACTTTTTTTATATATATTATTTATATACAGTTTGTCTGCTGTTTTTACTCTTAAGGAAACAGTTTTTTTGTTTGGTTGATAATTAATTAATTGATTTTATTAAATGATATGATACTAATATACTAAATTTGTCGTCAACTACAGTAAGTACTGTATATACAATTTATATACATTGTATGTAGTGTACTGTACAGTGTACTCATACAGTTTATATCTTTTTAATTATGATTGTCATTTTATTTGTCTAAACTTTTATACAATTTGATTGCAATGGCAATGTTGAGGGCACCGGTAGATAAATTTAAAGAACTGGTATCTACTAGTTTGAAATTTTTTTTTGATACGTGACTACTTAACACATTTCAAATAATATTTGCTTCAGATTTATTTGCTTATTAGGATATTTTGATAATAATTTTTTATTTTATTATAATATCATATGTATGTAATTTTGTGTCACTGACTATACTTATACAATAATTACATTTAGATATATATGTATATAATTGCAGTACATTTACAGTACAATTGTCAAGCAGTTTCTTAACTTTGAAAATACTGTAATTTAATAATAATAGTAATTGACCTGAAATTACAATTATTGCTGACGATTACAAACTTATAATAATTTTTTTGTTTTAATAATCACAAAACACAAGCAAATCTCTATCTCTTTAAAATATTCCTATTATTTATTAAATTTTTAACTTTAAATCTTATTTAATTATTTTTTATTTAACTTATCAAATTGAATACACAATATATTATAGTATATTTTAATTGTTTGGTACATTTTAAGCGTCATCTTACTAATGGAAAAAATTATTTTTATTTAATATTATTATTATTTATAAAATAATATAAGATAAATGTATTTATTTACTTTTATTAAATTATTATTTTTTGTATTCAATATCGGAATATTTTATTTATTAAAAAATTATTTTACGATTAAAATGTTAGAAATTATTTAATATAGATTAGAAAGATATATGAAATAAATAGATTAGTATAAAAAAATGTTTTACTAAAAAATTATAAAAAAATAGTATCAAATAAAAGTAGTTTTTTTTAATTAGACCTAAAAACCATAATAAAAACTATTTTTGTCTAAACATTGGAAAGTTATTTTTATGGATATATTGTTTGTTGTTGTTTTTTTGGTTACTGTTTTCACTTTTTTAAGATTTACTTTTTTTAGAAAGTAAGCTATACTATAAATAATATTATAATAATAAAAAAAAACATTTTATTTTCTAATCCCAACCCCTTTAGTTACCACCAATTTCTATCCATAGCCGACACACACGTGTGCTTAACTTTAAACGTATAGTAATTTAAGTGCACTAAAAAAAAGGTTTAACCAACAACAACAAAAAAATACAATAAATAAATCCCAAATATAACCCCCAAAAATAGTAAAACTTATTTAGAAGAAAGTAGTTTTTATATATGACTGTAAAAAAACTATTTCTATTATTATTATTATAAAAACACATATAACAAGCATAGGTTAGTACAGTACACAGTGTAGGGATATTTTTTAAGAAACGGGAGGCCAGGTTTAGGGGGACTATTATTGTGTGAAGACTATACTCTTACTATTAGCTGATAACAAATAGTCATAAAAAACAGTTAAAAACAGTTTTTTATTTTATTTTTCAGTGGACACAACACTTTTACTCAACACTTCTTTTTATAGTTTAGAAAAAACTACAATAGTTTTGTGTTAGAGTGTGTGTGTATGTGTCGCCTGACATACCGGTGCTTTCAAGGAAATAAAAGTAACAGCAAAAAAACTAAGCATAAGAAATAAGTCTAGATAATAGGTGAGATCTGAGAGCACAGGCCGATTGATAAGGAACGGCATGTCGATAAAATGTACCTTAGAAAAAGGGGTTATGAAGTGTTTGCAAAGAGGAACGGTATGTTTATATGATGTA